CACTGAGCAGGGAGCCTATTGCGGGGCTCCATCCCAGAACCCTGGGATCATGACCTGAGCCGAAGGCAGACGCTTAACCAACTGAGCCACCCAGGCACCCTAGTGTTTGAAATCTTATCAATAATTAACAATGCTGGCATTAAAATTAAAAAAAAAAACTAATTTATGGAGAGATACTCTGAGACTCTCTAAATACCTTATTTCACCCCAAACATTTACTCACTACTTTTAGCATCCTCCTTTTTTGTTTGTTTTTAAAAATTAAACTACAGTTTTTCTTCCCTTTTATTTAATCCTTCAGATAGAATGTTTTCTCAAAATTACTTTTGAAATGTTAGACGATTTTTGGAAATTTTATTGTGATCAGTCAGAAATCATTAAAAACGTGTATATGTGGCAGTGATGCTTCATTTTAACCAGATTTTATTTGGAGTCAATTAAAGACTCTTTTTAAAACTTAAAACATAGAAATCAGTAAGTTTGGATTTGAATATTGTTTATTGTAAGAGATTGAACTTTTTGAAATTTAATTGTAATTACAGCCATCTGCTGTTCCTAAAAGTGCTGAATTTTCAGTTGTTTTCACTGAGTATTGTCAGAAGTATGCCTTCTGTAACTTGATTGTTGTACCAGGTAGAGTAATATATTTACTTGTAACTGCCATAAATCAATAATGAGATTGAGGTTCTTGGAGAACTTACATATGCTTGAGGAAAATATTTTGTAAATCACAAATTAAAGTTTTGTTTTTTTTTTATATTGCAGATTGGTTTTTCAGCAGCAGATGCAGTAACAGGACTGAAATTGGTAGAAGAGGGAGTACCCAAAGAACATTTAGCCTTATTGGCAGTTCCAATGGTTCCTTTGCAGATAATATTGCCTCTGATTATCAGCAAATACACTGCAGGTCCCCAGCCACTAAACATATTTTACAAAGCCATGCCCTACAGGTAAAAATGAAATAAAACCTTACTAAATAAGAAAGGTTAAATGAGGAACATTCATCAGTATCACTAATAACTGTGTGTAAAGTATATATGGAAAAAAACTTGAAAAGCATCTTTAGCTTCAGCATCATTTATATGCACTTTTACCTCTTTTTAACCTCCTAACAGGTTTTAAATAACAGGCTACTTTCACATAGTAGGCATACAGATTTCTGTTTTTGTTGTTATTTTTTAACCTAAAATGGACGTCAACTCCATGTTTCTTTCTTTTTCTATAGATTATTGCTTGGATTAGAATATGCTCTACTAGTTTGGTGGACTCCCAAAGTAGAACATCAAGGAGGATTCCCTATATATTACTATATTATAGTGCTGCTGAGTTATGCGTTACATCAGGTAAGCTTGCTGTGGTTTTCTCAGAAGTAAACTTTTATTTTTGGAAAATAAAGAAGACATTTTTCTACAGTTGCCTTGAAATAATGATAATAAATTTTAAGACTTAAACATGAGTCTGACACTGAAGAAATTATTTGACAATGAACTTTAAACATTGTGGCTTTTGATTTATTGAGCTCTATTCGTAGAGAGTTTCTTCATTTCATTTATTTTGTTCATTCAACCAGTATTTGTTATATACAGAATTAATTCCAAAGCTAGTAATTCTACCCTTCCTAAGTATTCCTCAGTCCATCCCTAGACTTGGGTTCTTTATTTCTTCAATTCCAGATGCCTTTTCTTTCTGAAAGTCTTGAAAAATAATGATGGCGGGCACCTGGGTGGCTCAGTTGTTAAGCGTCTGCCTTCGGCTCAGGTCAGGATCCCAGGGTCCCAGGATCGAGCCCCACATCGGGCTCTCTGCTCAGCGGAAAGCCTGCTTCTCCCTCTCCCACTCCCCCTGCTTGTGTTCCCTCTCTCTCTGTGTCTCTCTCTGTCAAGTAAATAAAATCTTTAAAAAAAAAAAAAAGAAAGAAAAATAATGGTGGCTACTGGGCGACAGATCCCAGGTTTTTGGTTTCAATTCTGTACTGAAAGTTAAGACTTACTCTTTGTGATTTTGAAAATTGTGTGTTAATCTGCTTTCTCTTTCTTTATTAGCTATGTTTGTAATCCCTCACCTAAGCTGCTGTTGCAGAATGGGGTTGTGTTCTGGGGGCAAGTGATTTCAAGTAAACTTGTAGACACCCAGCAGTAAACTTTGGGACTTGAGTGCAGTTATTACAAATGTGTTATCTAAGAGTCACTTTGGATTTTTCTATGGAACATAGTTTAAACTTATAATTACAAACTCACTTGTTTTTAACTGAAACCTAAAAATGTGGTTACCAAGTAATCTCAATAATTTTTTACATACAGTTATATCATTTGGGAGAACTCCATAATGGATCTGTCCAACTAACTATATTTAAAGAAGTGCTTTAACTTAATAAATGTTTCGTTATCTGTGTAAGTAAAAGAAAACTACAGTGTAGTAGTCCAAAAATCGTTTGTTTGGCTTTGGATTTGATTAGAAAATTTTCTAAAGTGTAGCTGTTGATGCTCAGACAGCCAGATGCTTTCTGGGAAAAACTGTACAAGGCCAAGTAAATTTGAGAAATGATACCTGACATAACCCTTCTTTATGTAGCATCTTAGTCATCAACAAATACTAATTGGACACCTGTTCCATGCCAGAAACCATTCTAAGCGCTAAAATAGAACTAAATAAATCATGCCAAAATCCCTGTCCTTAAGGAGTTTATATCCTAAAGGCTTTCAGAGGCCTACAGTGAAAGGGACCTGTTTATTATTTTGTGTAACTTAGTGTTTCTCAGTCTTTTTTGACTCTGGAATACCTTTTTCTATGAACGCCCCATGGAACAGTATTCAAAGGAAAGCGATTTTGGAAACATGGTTTGTTTCCATGTTTCTAAATGGAGAGTTAATTCTTGCCTCTTAAGTACTTTTTGCCTCTTAAGGAGATGTTTCTGTTCAGTTTGTCTCATAAACTTTGAAATGTTATCATTCTTCTGTATATGTAAAAGAAAAAATACATATACTTACATATTCATTCACATATATACTTATATATACACACAGGATATATTTAGGGACAATACAAATATGGGGTTTTGCTAATTGCTGTATGCATCCTTCAGTGCCACCCTGTTTGTCATTTTCTCTATTGAGCTTTCTTTGACTACTTACTGTAGAATTAATCTCTCATTTATTTAGATTCCAGTGGCATAATGTGTGTACTTCTACTTTCTTTTTTTATTTATTTCTTTTTTTTATGTGTGTACTTCTACTTTCAATACTTACTGCATTTCATCGTAATTATTTATTCCTTATTTTCCCAGCCTAGAATAAGTTCTTCAAGGGTACATAGAGAATGTGTCTTTTTTTTTTTTTTTTTAAGATTTTATTTATTTGACAGAGAGAGAGACACAGCGAGAGAGGGAACACAAGCAGGGGGAGTGGGAGAGGGAGAAGCAGGCTTTCCGCTGAGCTGGGAGCCCCATGCGGGGCTCGATCCCAGGACCCTGGGATCATGACCTGAGCCGAAGGTAGACGTTTAACAGCTGAGCCACCCAAGCGCCCCGAGACTGTGTCTTATTCATCTTTTTATTGCCATGATCTGGCCTGGCCTATAGTAGGTGCTCAATATATCTTTGTTGACTTGAGTTTAATAAGGGTCATGAAAATTAATTTTCAGATTTATGATTTTGATTTTTTAAGTCAGACTCTTTTTTATAAGGTCTAATTATGGTAAAGGTGTTTTATATTTTCCTTTTAGGTTACATTGTACAGCATGTATGTTTCCATAATGGCTTTCAATGCAAAGGTTAGTGATCCTCTTATTGGAGGAACATATATGACCCTTTTAAATACTGTGTCCAATCTGGGAGGAAACTGGCCTTCTACAGTAGCTCTTTGGCTAGTAGATCCCCTCACAGTGAAAGAGTGTGTAGGAGCATCAAACCAGAATTGTCGAACACCTGATGCTGTTGAGGTAAGTATGTTGTAATTTGATTTATTTTTTATTATTTTTTAAAGATTCCACCTATTTATTTGGGAGAGAGAGAGCACGAGCAGGGTGAAGGGCAGAGGGAGAAGCAGAGCAGGGAGCCCAACACAGGGCGCGATCCCGGGATCATGACCCCAGCCGAAGGCAGACGCCCAACCAACTGAGCCACCCAGGCACCCCAGTAGGTTGTAATTTTAGATAACATTAAGCTAGTATTAAGATATCAATTTTCAGGGATGTCTGGGTGGCTCAGTTGGTTAAGCATGTGCCTTCAGCTCAGGGCATGTTCCCAGGGCCCTGGGATCGAGTCCCACATCAGGCTCCTTGCTTAGCGGGGAGCCTGTTTCTCCCTCTGCCTGCCGCTGCCCCTGCTCCTGCTCTCTCTCTCTTTCTCTGACAAATAAATAAATAAAATCTTAAAAAAGAAAAAAGATACTAATTTTCAGGGGAACCTGGCTGGCTCAGTCTGTGGAGCAGGCCACTCTCGATCTTGGGGTTGTATGTTTGAGACCCACATTGGGTGTGGAAATTACTTAAAAAAATAAAATCTTAAAAAAAAAAAGAAAGATTAATTTTCTTATTTTGCCTCTAGAAGTACTGTATCTTTTTAAAAAATCATATCTGCCCATAGTTTCTTCTTTTTTTTTTTAAGATTTTATTTATTTGACAGAGAGAGAGCACAAGCAGGGGGAGCAGGAGAGGGAGAAGCAGGCTTCCCACTGAGCAGGGAGCCTATTGCGGGGCTCCATCCCAGAACCCTGGGATCATGACCTGAGCCGAAGGCAGACGCTTAACCAACTGAGCCACCCAGGTGCCCCCTATAGTTTCTAGTGTAGAAATCTCTGTTTGGTTTTTTTTTTCCTATCAGAACTGAGGGTTATAACACTTAAATCAGTAAGAGTAGCTCATTTGAAGATGCTTCTCAGCAAGGAAAGAGCAGTCTCTCTCCCCTTTACCTTGAGGATCCTATACAGTATGCACTTAATAAGTGCATAATTAACAGCTAAGTTTTATAATGATAAAAAAGGGAAATTCCATTGACTATTTATGTAACAATTGTAGCTAAACCTGAATGGTTAGCAGTCTATTGTTAAATTATTTCAAATTAACATTAGCCCACTTCTAGAGTAGATTCATTGGAAATTTCTACACATTTCCCAAATATGAAAAGCTATATCTTTTTTTTTTTTTTTTTTTTAAGATTTTATTTATTTATTTGACAGAGAGAGACACAGCGAGAGAGGGAACACAAGCAGGGTGAGTGGGAGGGGGAGAAGCAGGCTTCCCGCGGAGCAGGGAGCCCGAGGCGGGGGCTCGATCCCAGGACCCTGGGATCATGACCTGAGCTGAAGGCAGATGCTCAATGACTGAGCCACCCAGGCGCCCCTAAAAGCTATATATTCAAAATGGAAAATGAGTATTGTTTACAGCAAGAGCTGAAAAATATTTTTAATCCTGTTAGTAGCATTAGAGAGATTAAGACATATTAGCATATTCACCATTTGAAATGAACAAAATGATGAAATGATTTAACAAAAATACATTTTGAAGGGAGCCTGGTTGGTTCAGTCAGTAGACCCTATGACGCTTGATCTCTTGGTCTCTGGGTTGTGAGTTCAAGACCCATGCTGGATTACTTAAAATAATAATAATAATAATAATAAAAATAAAAATACCTTCCAAAAAATTTTTTTATTAATCCCTTAAATTACAAAGTAAAAACGTCTAAATTGCTGAATACTTCCGTTTTGAAATTGTGAAATATTTATTGTAATTTTACTTTTACAGCTTTGCAAAAAGCTTGGTGGCTCATGTGTTACGGCGCTGGATGGTTATTATGTAGAATCCATCATTTGTGTTTTTATTGGATTTGGTTGGTGGTTCTTTCTTGGTCCAAAATTGAAAAAATTACAGGATGAAGGACCATCTTCATGGAAGTGCAAAAGAAGCAACTAATGCATTCACTACTGGACATTCTAGGAAGGTAACTGTAGTTTCATTTTAATTCAGACAGTTATGATAATCAGTGCACGGGAGTATAAAATAATATTTTAAACAAGGAAGTTACTAATATAAAATGCCAAATGATTAAAAAATAGAGACTCTCTGTATAGTTGATTATATTTTCCTTGCCTTGTCAGTGTATTTGAAGTTTACTTAAGGTCAGGAAATTGGTTCTTAAAACAAGTTTTCTGACCTTGTTATTTGATTTATATCTTTTTAATTTACTGACCAAAGTATGTTTTAACCTGCAGTGCAGTAGTCATGGGCGGTAACCATGCAGTCAAGTATTGTTATCAGTACCTATCACTGAGCTGTATTTAAAATTTTAGTACAATATATTAAGTGGAACAGAGCTTGATATTCAGGTGCTAATTACAACTAGTCTGGCCTTGTTGGCAGTTAAATCTTATTTTGAATTGCAAATTGGTTAAATTCTATGTGGAATTTGCTGAGAAGAGAATGCAGACTACTGAAATGCCATTTTAGTTGTTATTTTTCTGACCATAACCACATTGTACTAATGAATCTGTGTTAAGAAGACTATTTTAAATGTATTTCCTGCTTTTGTAAGCATTAAAGATTTTTAAGAAGATTATTCAAACTATTTTTTTATAAAATGAAAGCTATGATTTTTAGTTTAATGATTCCCCTGTCCCCCTTTTTTGGAAGATATTCTGATTCCTTGTTAACTTTTACCCTAAAACTTACATGTGTTTTTGTCATAAGTGCTTCATGGCATACAGACAGCTCATGAAGGGATCTAATTTAGTGTTGTATGTATGTATGTTCATGGCAAAGTTTTGAAAATAAAAAATGTTTTTCTTCAAGCAGTTTTTTTTATTACTGAGAGAAAAAAACAGTAAAGCTTTTCGATTAAATAAAATCTAAATGATTAATACCATAATTTTAAAGACTAATGCTTAGAGAGAGAGACAAAGACATTTTGTGCCTTTGACGAGTTAAATTATGTTGTGGAAGAATGTTTCTTAATTAAGCACTTTACTAGTGAGAAAAGATCTCACAGTTACTTTATATGAAATCAGGTACTGTATTCCCACTTATTAAAGCACAACGTTCTGTTTGTAAACTGTAATGTCTGGTAGAGGATTGATATCCCAGGAAAATTAAACTTTTGAATACATTAGCAATTCCCAACATATTATGTACACCCAGTAATAAGGTTCTTTGCATATTTTGTGTTGTGTATTACTCTGACTCTTTAGGGATTATGTAAGTCATTCCAAAGTTACAGAAAAAGAAAGATTAAGTTGAGTCTGACTTATTTTTATCCTGTGGGAAAACATATACTAATTTTTGATTTTGTTAATTTTATAACATAGGTGGAATTTTAGAGTGGGGTTTTATATAAGTAATGGAGGATAAAATGGGTGGGAGAAAATGGCACTCAGCATCTGAAGATAGAGGCAGTTCTCTAGAACTCATGCATTGCCATTGGAAAGCCTGTGTTGGGCATCGATGTCAGATTCTGAAGAATCACCTGGAAAATCATCCTAGAAACAAGGAAGCTACACCAAACCATAGTCTCCCATACTTTGTCACATGGGTTGTCCATTATCATGTATTATAATCAAAATGTTTACTTGAATAAAGAAAAAAACCCACTTACTCTCATATGTGAAATGTATTTTGCTTTTTAAATTTTGGATTAAGAAGGTGACATTGCCATAATTACCTTTTGTTTCTTACCCATTCATATTAAAAATTTACATATTTTCAAACATACTTTGAAGTCAACAAATCTTTAATGACTTGAACTATTAAAATATATTGTAAGCCTTTAACTCTAAGGTAAAAGCCATTATTAATTGCATTTGCTCTAGAAATGAACATTTATTTTGAATTATAGTCCTTTGGTTATTTGGGTACACGCTTGTAACACATACCAAAAATGACTTCTTAATAGCTATGTGCAACTATATTGCATACATTGATTACTGATGGCATCTTACAAATGATCTACCTGAATCTGAGGATCTGTTCATGGTATATCAGTAGTACTAGAAAATACTACCTTTTTTGCATATGTTTTTCTTTACTGATAGATCCTGATAAACTCTGCCCTCAAGTATGAACGTTAACTCCTCCAGTTAATGTATTATACATTTACTAGCTAATATTCTTATAAATCTTACAATCTTATAAAAGATTAGCTAAGACTAAAACCAAAAATTCCTTCCTTTGTAAATATTTTAATTTTGCCTGATCAATCATAAAAAAAATTTGTTCAATACCTAAAATAGATTCCTCTATTTTTTTTAATATTAAACCTTTGAGATACAAATCTATTGTTTGATTTCATCTCTTTATTACAAGGATTTTTATCCTAAACAGGTGTCAGTGGGGCCTTGAAACCCCTGAATTGCTAGCAAAACTGGACATGTAATTATTTGTCTTTCTGGAGAGAGCTCTTGTTAAAATCGTAAATGGTCTGTGATCCAAAAAAGTGTAAAAGCCATGACCTTATTGAATGTGGGCTCTGAATTGTAAACATAACTTTGAAATAATAATTGTGAAACTAATTGTTTAAAGCATCCTAAAAACAATGTTAAAAGAAAAATCTTATGATGAAAACTGGAAAATGTCTGCATTTGTAGTGGTGAACTTGAACCTTGAACGGATTAGAGCAGGTAAGACATTACTGGTAGGGGAGAGTTATAAGGGTGAGTTCTGTCCCAAAAAAGAAATATCTTAGTCATTTAGTACTTTTTTCCTATTAATAATTTCTATTTTGTCCTGTTAACAGAAACCCAAAAAAGTATGTTGTTTTATATTAAATGGTTGAGCTCATTATTTAATATAACAGAAGACCAGACTTGTTTTTATATTTTGGGGAATCATCTTTTTTCATGTGGTTGAAAGAATGAATAAAACTGTATGACACAGACCCTGCTAAAACTAAAGAACCAATTTGTTGGGGACATTCCATGCATATTTCCAAAATGTATTTTACCTTAGTATTAGAGAAAGAAAATAAGTTTTAAGAAATGATTCCATTATAGCTAGGATTAATATATTTAATAGCCATTTTCATTACAGGAGGAAAGGTGACAATAGTGCGTCGTACTACTGAGACTTCTTTTAACCAATGTCTTTGGTAGGTAGCAAGGCGTAATTAATTGATTTTTCTCTTAGCAGATTTAAAATACCTATTATAGACCTTATTTCTTTTTCCACTACAGCTTAATCTCTGCCTGATTTGACAGTGCCAAATTTTTAATGTAATCGCTATTTAATTTGGGACTGGGAGCCTTTTCATTTCCTACCTGTCAAAACTGCTATTAGAATCTTCGTTTTACTCCTTTAAATTGTTGGCAAGGTAAATGGGCACGGAAAACTTATATTTTTTCCTGGAATTCTGTTTTGGTAGAGGAAAGTCCTGATCAAGATGGAATAGTTAATGTGCAGGGCTCATGCCCTCTCCTTAAGTGAATAGAAACATTTTTTTATTTATCAGATTATAAATATTGCTTTTAAGGAGGGTTTTTTTTTTATGGAGTGACAGATATTTTATAGGAGGAAATAGTTTTATGTAGCAAATGGAAAATTTTATGATTAATTATAATTTCTCTTTTAAAGAATTTGTCAGGTATATAATTTAAAAGATATTAAAACAGCAATATTTGCATAGTTTATATGAAGTCTTGAAGCATTGAGAAAAGGTTGCTACATTTTAATAGTTTTTTATTGGCAATATATAGAAATAACTTTTTATAACAGTTTTGTGTGAAGAGTAACAAATAGCATGACTGAAATGAACAAGGTACTGGTATAATTCTTAGGGAATTATAAATCTCTCAGATCTAGTACTCTAGTCAATTACAATTAATCAGTCACTATTGTAAAATATAAAAATTAAAGACTATCCTTACTTTCATCAAAATGACCTTATATGTTGGAGAAAGTTTACTTTTTATAGCCTTATAATTAATGAAACTGAAATTTTTATCACATGCATCTATAAAATTAGGAAAATATAAAATCGGGGCAAAAATCTGATATTTTAAAAAGTTAGTTTGGCATATTTGGTAAATTGATAGATTACCACTGTCAAGTTATATCAGTGAATCTAGATCTATTGTCCTCAGATACTGCTTTATGTAAGAATTAGTGTAAAATTGAAAAAATACGCAGTGTTAAAAGTTGTCATTGTTGGGGTCTTTATGAAATCACTGCATCCATGTACAGTTTTGAATTAAAAATGCACAACACAAAATAATTTATCATTTTTGAAAGATCTAACATTAGCTTTGATAGTTTAGCATTATTTAAGTGTTTTAGTATATGTGAAATGTTTATTTGGTTAATTTATTTTCAAATGTTAATAATATTAAATATTTATGCAATGTTTAAATATTTGGAGTATATTTGAAATAAATTCTCCAGATTTTTGCATAAAGGATTATTTAAGTGCTCAAAATGATTGTTTCACAATTGATCTCTAAGAAATAAAATATTGACAAAATATACTTGTTTTCATGTTTATTAAGTACTAGCCAAATTTACCTGCAAATGATTCATGTTAAAATTATACTAGATTGACATTATATAATTAAAAGCAAGGTAATTTCAAGAGGTGTACACCTACCACCAAACCGTTGTTTTTTTGTTTTTTTTTTAAATGAAGCCAGCCTGAATCATTGTATCTTCCATTAGTAACCTGGGTAAAAGGGAGAATAGATGGAGGCATAACACTGTATGGATAGTTTGGGATTATAAAGAATTTCACTGGGAAACTTTATTGTAAAATATCTCTTTTTTTTTTTAATATTTTATTTACTTGAGAGAGAGAGAGAACATGAGCAGGGGAGAGGGGCAGAGGGAGAGGGAGAATTAGACTCCCCGCTGAGCAGGGAGCCGATGTCTGGCTCAATCCCAGAACCCTGGGACTGTGATCTGAGCTGAAGGCAGATGCTTAACTGATTGAGCCACCCAGGCGCCCCTAAAATCTCTTATTTTTTAAACATTTGTTATTGGATATTGGCTTCTTTAGTAGTTACAATTTTAAAGAATTTATTTAAATTAAAAGACAGTTTGGGATTATAGAGAAAATACTGTTTCTCCAGTTAGAACTTTCTGAGCAAATTTTACTAAAACTTGGGACCTGTGCTCAAAGAGAAGCCTTTGAAGCTAAGTTGTAACTGAATAGAGAGAAACCAGAGTGTATTAGTCTGCGAGGGCCATCATAACAACATACTACAGACTAGGTGGCGTAGACAGCCGAATTTATTTTCTCACAGTTCTGGAGGATGGAAATTCCAAGATCAAGGTGGCAACAGGTTTGGTTTCTCCCAAGGCCCATCTCCTTGGTTTAGAGACTGCCACTTTCTTACTCTGTTTGCATGACCTTCCTCTCTGCACACACATTCCTGGTGTCTCTTCCTCTTATAAGGACACCAGTCCTACTGGATTAGGGCTCTACCCTTATTACTTTATTTAACCTTAATTACCTCTATAAAGGCCCTGGCTCCAAATATTATCACATTGTGGGTTAGGGCTTCAACATATGAATTTGGGAGGAACGCAATTTAGTCAATAACACAAGAGATACTTACTTCTCTGGTATGCACATTTCAAGGGGAATGAGACTTGGGAACATGGAAACATCTATGGGTTATAAATCTGGAGACATGTCTTGTTTTTCCCCTGAAGACATATCTATATTCCAAAAGGTAAGAACCCAGGATCCTTCCTAAGGAGAACTTGTTTATAGTAAGGACATAAGATTTCTCCAGGCTCCTGGGTGGCTCAGTCTGTTAAGCGTCTGCCTTCGGCTCAGGTCATGATCCCAGGATCCTGGGATCGAGCCCCGCATCAGGCTACCTGCTCAGCAGGGAGCCTGCTTCTCCCTCTCCCACTCCCCCTGCTTGTGCTCTGTCAAATAAATAAACTCTTTAAAAAAAAAAAAAAGAAAGATTTCTCTTCCTTTCTCTGAAAGAGAGGAGAACTTCCATATAGCTGTCCTGTGTAGTTCCCAGATTCATATTTTGAGGCTCCTCACCTATAGTGCAAACCCTAGAATATATAGTCTCATCAATCTGATAAGCTGTTATCAGTCTGGTTCTCATTTGTCACCACACAGGTGAGAATTGGTCTGTGGGGAACAAGTGTGGTTATTTTAAATAGTAATTAAATATATTCCTGCTTAAGAAACGACATGTGTACTTCAGTACAATGTGAATAAATATAATAGTCATGTTTTATCTGATGCTTCTTGAATTGTGTTCTGTTTAATCCACATTTTTTTGCTTCTGTTATGGTCAGAAGCCTAGAATAATGAAAGTCTGGGTGTTATTTTTTAAGTTTTATTTTTATTCTATTTTTTTACCCTATTGGCTATTCTTTATTTCTATTTTTTTTATTATTTTTAAAACATTTTTTTTTAAAGATTTTATTTATTTGAGACAGAGAATGAGATAGAGCATGAGAGGGTCAGAGGGAGAAGCAGACTCCCTGCCGAGCAGGGAGCCCAATGTGGGACTCGATCCCGGAACTCCAGGATCATGACCTGAGCCGAAGGCTGTCGCTTAACCAACTGAGCCACCCAGGCGCCCCTATTTTTAAAACATTTTTTAAAGATTTATTCATTCATTGGAGAGAGCGAGTGTGAGCATGGTGGGAGAGGCAGAGGCAGAGAGAATCCCAAGCAGACTCCCTGCTGATCATGAGACAAGACTCTGAGATCATGACCTTAGCCAAAATCAAGAGTCTGACACTCAACTGACTGAGCCATCCAGGTGCCCCTTTAATTTTTTTTTAAATATTTTATTTTTAAGTAATCTCTATACCCGTCATGGGGCTTGAACTTAAAACCCCGAGATCAAGAGTTGCATGCTCTACCCACTGAGTTAGCCAGGTGCCCCTATTTTATATATATATGTATATATATGTGTGTGTGTGTGTATATATAAAAGTTTATTTAAGTAATCTCTACACCCAACATGGGGCTCAAACTCACGACCTGAGATCAAGAGTCACATGCTCTTCTGAGCCAACCAGGTGCCCCTTTATTTTTTATTTTTATTTTAATTCCAGTATAGTTAACATACAATGTTATATTAGCTTCAGTGTATAATATAGTGATTCAACAATTCTGTACATCAACCAGTGCTCATCAAGATAAGTATACTCTTAATATCCCCTTCAACTATTTGACCCATCCCTCCACCCACCTCCCCTCTGGTAACCATCTGTTTGTTCTCTAGAGTTAAGAGTTGTTTTTTGGTTTATATCTTTTTTTTTTCCTTTGTCCATTTGTTTTATTTATTGAATTTCACATGGGAGTGAAATCATATGGTATTTATCTTTCTCTGATTTATTTTGCTTAGCATTTTATTCTAGATCTATCCATGTTGTTGCAAGTGGCAAGATTTCCTTTTTTGTGAATGAATAATATTCCATGTGTATATATACCACCTCTTTATCCATTCTTCTATTGATGGACACCTGGGTTGCTTCCGTAATTTGGCTATTATAAGTAATGCTGCAATAAACAGGAGTGCATTTTTCATTTTGGATTAATGTTTTTGTATACTTTGGGTAAATACTCAAGAGTGCAATTACCGGATTATATGGTAATTCTATTTTTAATTTTTTGAGGAACCTCCATACTGTTTTACAAAGTAGGTGCACCAGTTTGCATTTTCACCAAGAGTACGCGAGGGTTCCTTTTTCTCCACATCCTCACCAACACTTGTGTTTTTGAAAGCCTGGGTTTTAGAACCAAGAGTTCTGTCTCAAGTGACTAGATGTTTCCTTTTATATTTTCTTCTGGTTCAAATGGGACAAATTATCCAAGTAGTTCAATTTAAAGTGATAATAGAAAAGTATACTCCTGTGGGTAGAAGACATTTTATATCTAGTATTTTAGTAGTACGGTGTGAGTTGAAGCAAAAATTGGAGGTTTTTTTTTTAAAGATTTTATTATTTATTTGACAGAGAAAGACACAGCAAGAGAGGGAACACAAGCAGGGGGAGTGGGAGAGGGAGAAGCAGGCTTCCCGCCGAGCAGGGAGCCCGATGCGGGGCTCGATCCCAGGACCCTGGGATCGTGACCGGAGCCGAAGGCAGATGCTTAACGACTGAGCCACCCAGGCGCCCCCAAAATTGGAGGTTTTATCTGAAGGAATCTGACCCTATAAGTCAGGAAATGGAAATTATTATAAAAGCAGAAAGAAACAATTCTGGGTTAAAAAAAATGGTAAAAACCATTTCAAAATAACACTTTCACAGGTTTTTGAACATTTTTGTTTATTAGGTTAATAACTTCTGATAAAAGGAAAAATAAAGGTTTTGTATTTTTTTTTGTCCTTTATTTCTTTCTAGTCCTCTAAAGAAAAAACAATTTTTTTAAGATTTTAGTTTTAAGTAATCTCTAAACCCAATGTGGGGCTCAAACCTACAATCCTGAGATCAAGAGTCGCATGCTCTACTGACTAAGCCAGCCAGGCACCCCCCCAACATTTTTTTAAAATGCTGATCATGGGACATCTGGGTGGCTCAGCCTGTTGAGCTTCTGGCTCTTGATTTTGACTCAGGTCATGATCTCATGGTCATGGGATTGAGTCCCATGTTGGACTCTGAGTCTGCTTGTCCTTCTCCTTCCCCATCTGCCCTCCTCCCTCCCCCTGCTGTGTTCTCTCAAATAAATAAAATCTTCTAAAAAAAAATGCTTATCAGATATTGCCTGAACTAAGAGACCAACTTATAGATGGGTCATGATGTATATATAGTCAGAGGTATGCAAAAGCTGTGGTTTTGCAGATTATAAGCATTGATTTATTAGGGATTACCTTTTTAACTGCCAATTTCTAATAAAATGAAATTGGAGGAGAGATAAAGACCATCAAAGTAAACAGGGTCTACACTAGAATATCAGCATTGGAAAAGGAAAAGAAGAAATCAATTCTAGAGATTATGAAGTTGAATTACAAGGACAGGTGGTTGCTATAGGAAGCAAGGACATGAGCTTTTGAGTGTAGATGATTGTAGGAAATGGGGGTGGAAGAGTAGCTTTGAAAGAGGCAATTTTAATCAGAATATGGTAGGATGAATGTGAAAAGGGACTTGTTTCAAATTTATTTTCCTAAGTAATTGAGACTTGTCCATGGGAGGAGGTGAGTTCAGGATCTTCCTATGTCACCATCTTGAACTAGAACTTCTTGTGATTTTAATTTGCATTTTCCTAATGGCTAGTGATGTTGAACATCTATTCTTCCTCTAATACCATGTTCCCATTGCTTTTGTGAAGGTAGTATCCTATTGGCTCTCCTGGAAAACATGTTCAGCTAGAACATTCTCTGGTTTTATGTAGTAAGTCCATTCTAATATTGCGATCTTTCTTTTTGACGCATTCCTCATATTCTGCTAAGGTAGTTCTAGCATCTCCACCCTCATTTACTGTAGGCAACCATTGTGTCATTGCTTTAAGGAACCATCCCACTTGTGTAGTAGACTTGGCTTTAGGT